AAACCATTTCAGGTGACTACCTCTTGAAGCTCATGGAGAGAATGCCAAGAGTGTGCAAAGCAGTAATCAGAGCAAAGGGTGGCTATTTTGAAGAAACTAGAATATAAAACATGTTTTCAGTTATTTCACCTTTTTTTGTTAAGTACATAACTCCACATGTGTTCATTCATAGTTTTGATGCCTTCAGTGAGAATCTACAATGTAAATAGTCATGAAAATAAAGAAAAGGCATTGAATGAGAAGGTGTGTCCAAACTTTTGGCCTGTACTGTATGTGTGTGAGTGTGTGTTTGTGTTTGCGCGTTCATACGTGAGTGCATATGTGTGCGTGCAAGCGCTCCTGCTCACACTTCATGTCACCCCTGCAAAAGTCAGTGCCCCACTGGGGCCACCCCTATCAAAAATGTCTAGGCACACCCCTGATTAAGACAATTTGTCATTTTATCTATTATGTGATTTCTGTGTTAAGAATCTATTAAAAATACATGGAATTTAGTATCCTAATCCAAAACAATATTTTGCTTTTTATTTATAGGTGCATTTAGGGTAGAAATCCACCATTACAATATTGTTTTTTGATGTTTGGATGATAATTGGGTTCTGAACGGGCTATGATGGGCAGAGCAAAAAGTCAAAAACCACTGTTCCTTGATCTTGCAAGAAAAGCCAAGTGTAGGGATGTGCCATTTCATATCCCTCACAATAATATCAGTATAATTTTTAACATGACATGAAAAATACATATCTTGAAACTCATGATATTTCGACTTGTTGACATATTGATGTCATACTGTCACGCACGGCAACAACAAGCATGGCTAAAAGCAAAATTATTACCGACTCCACAGTGGTTCCAAAAAGGGGAGCAGCATCAGTGGTGTAGAATAAATGGTGGCATCCTGAATGTTCTATGAACCAGCCCCGGACTTCTCAGACTCTTTTAGAGACTTACCGCTCAGAGGGAAGTCATTCAATTGCTCCTCTGGCAGCAGCATGGCGTCTCTACCTCTCCTCTCTCGCCATGTGCACACAAGAGTCATGTCGTCAACTGATTTTGTCATAAACCTTTAGTGATGTAAACCTATATAACGCTCGCGGCTCAACAAAAAACTACATATATGTGAATGTGCAATTGTCATGGTAACATAACACACTGTAACAGGTTACAGTGGGATGATTAGAGGAAAAAATGGCAGAACATAAAGGTCCACGTGGAAAAAAAAAACCAACTCAATCATTTAAGATTTAGCTAAAAGAGAAGGAAATTACCAGTTGACTTATATATATATATATATATATATATATAGATCCCAAGGTCCATTTCTTTGAATTTCAGAACTGTTTAAATGTGGAATTTGTGGTAGATTTTATTTTGTTGTACTATATACAGAATCTGACTCTCACTCTGAGTTAATGTTGTTGTTGACAAACTAAAGAAATTAGATAATTTTTCTTTAGTTTTTACTGAATATTTGTGGGCAAACTGTTAGTTTAAACTGTTAAAGTTATATCACTTATTTAGAAGCAATTCTATGTTCTTAAATTAATAGTAAAATATTATTTTACCAATTTGTTATATCATCAAGAATATCATTATCGCAAAAACACCCTGAAATATTGTGATATTATTTTAGGGTCATATCGCCCACACCTAGCCATGTAGCGCATTTACTTTCTCCTTCTGGTAATAAGAGTTCTGCAGCTAAAATAGGCTGTGCCAACAAAACTGTTTGTAGAGTGTTGCATTTTATTACATGTTTGACTTCTGTTCAAAAAAATTTCACAGTAGACTTTACTTTTTATAGGAAAGGGTTTTGAGTGAGTAATTAATGCATTCAGGTAGGGCTGAGCGATCATACAATCTCAATTTGGGATCGCGATAAAATTTTGATCAATCTCAATTATCAGCATGGCACGTTTTGAATCGATATCATATGGCAAGAGTAAGCGCGACAACAGCATATCAGAGTCTGCCGGCTACCGTATACCATGCAGGCAGGACACGCCCACTTCTCATTGTAAGTGTGGATACAGTTGTAACGGGAGGTAAACAGAGAGAGAAGTTGAAGAGAGAAGTTGGAAAAAGGAGAAAAAATGAGTGAAACTGAAGTCAGGATGGAGAAAATAATGCAGAACGTGAAAGCGGCATCACTATATCATCCGGAAACGAAGATATTGTTGAAAAAAAGGTAACGCGACGTCAGTTGTGTGGAAGTGGTTTGGATACCTCAAAAGTGACGAGGAGCAGATGAAGCCGGTCTGCAAAATATGCTGGCGGTTGGTACCAACCAGGTCGGGAAACACCATAAACCTTTTCTATCACCTGAGACGGCACCATCCCAGTGACCACACAGAGAGTCTAACTCAAGCTGCCCCGGCTCCACACACACAGCCTAGCAAGTAACCTCTTCGTCTGCTGTTAGCATCGCTAGCAGCAGCTTAGCAGAACAACAGTCTATCCAGTTGTGTTTTGCAGCCACAGAGGGTATACCCCACATTTTTACTTAGTATATTTTTGTATTGCCTCAACAGACATTTGAGATCATTATTATTATTTAATAAGTGATTTTTAAGTTGTTTAAATACATTGTTTACAAAATCAAAAAATGTAAAATATAGTGAAAACTGACTATTCACTTAGTTTGCACTTGTTTGAAAACATAATTATATGATTCTGTAAAAGCTTAAGAGTGCTGCTCTCAATTTTCTTTTGCCAGTTGTGGGCCCTGCTGCTCTCTTGACCAGTGGAGGGCAATTCATTCATACAATGTGAGAGTGTAATGTGAATCCTATGTCTGCATGAAGACCTTAAAAACATTTTGTTCTCAATATTGGAAAAGCATATTATTTAGTGTTTTATGTTATTAAACTTTTATTGTTAACTTTCAATGAATCTCTTGTTTCTTCAAACTCCAATCAGGATGCTCCCTAAACTGGCAGAATCAGCAAAAACTACATATTGTGATAAAAATCAAGATCGATCAATATGAAAAAATATATCGTGATAACATTTTTTGCCATATCGTCCAGCCCTACATTCAGGTAAAATGAGACAAATAAATTAAGCTGACATGCAGCATTTTCCTGAAGATAAAATTGCAGGATTTTAGGCTCCCAGGCACCATAAAATCACGACTTGCTGTTGTGTGCCATCCTGCCATATAACAGACATTTTAGTATTTTTGTCACTTAAAAATACTAAAGATGATGTAGTGAGTTCATGTCAGACACAGTAGTCCAGAATTAGCCATAATTGTTAAACACTGTAGACAACGTGGCAGCAACAAAACAATCAGCTAGAAGACTGGAAAAGCATGGCAGAAAAGATGGACTGTTTTTTAAATGAACAGCTACAAGTTACATGAATGATTCTTTTAAAATTAATGTCTGAACTAATACATGGATTTAACAATTTAAAAAACAAACAAACATGAAAGTCCCATTTTTACCTCACCAGCTGTCCCATTTCACCTGAACATGTCATCAATGCGAAGTAGGGGTTCTTAATGTGTTTGAAGGTCCAAAGTTTCTCAAGAATTTTACTTGACAATATATTTTCTTTACAGAAATATAGGCTAATAGAAAAACGAAACAATTTCTAAAACTAAAACTGAAGGTAGCCTTCAGAGATTTAGGTGGTTTTCTTTGTTATCTACAAGGGAGTATCCCACATTACCTGACTTCACCCTACACTAAGGCAAATTTCTTGAACGTGAAAAACTACTTGGCAATAAGGATCGTGTTACATTAAGTGCCTGGAGCATCTGGTTTGGAAGTCTCCAGTCAGCAACCCTGAAAATATCAGGTGTCTCTTACAGTGGAAAATTAGAAGACGGACGTGGTTGTATGCCTAGTCTTATTTTAGAAATATAAAAGTTACAGAGGAAGTCCGAGGACCTCATATGACCGCTAAGTATCGTTTCCAGACATCAGTCAGCCAAAGGTTTTCTCTACGTCGCGGTGACAAGATCTATATCCACTAAGGTTACATATACACTGGATGTAGCTAAACTACTACTGTCTGAGGTGGGACTGTGACAGATAGAGGCTGTGATGACACACATGTAGTACAGATGGTAATGGACTGAGAAACTCACTGAACAGGAGTAGCGTTGATTCAAAATCCCCCCACTAAGTTAACGTTACTCGTGGCGAACTGATTTGTCGGGCGGATCCTTCCAGCCTACATATGACCACATGTCGACATAACACACCCTGATGCTAGGTGCCGCCTGACACCGCGCTTTATCATCTCACTGCAACACTGAACAATGAATTGTCCGAAAAGCTGGTTACCTTTCATTCGCGTCCCTCTCGCTGACCTCAAGGACGACGCGCGTTCATGAATCTGCAGCCCTTGAGCGCGTCACCGTGACACACTACGTAGGCAATACGCAGAGGCTACGCCATAGCCTACGCAACTAACCTACGCCGGTGTGAGCATAGTTGTGGAGAGTGTGCGTCTATAGTGTGGCCCAATGACCAACAAGGTTCTCAAGGTGACCTAAAATTAGAATTAAAACTGCACATGAAAGCGGTTTTGGCCTTTTCAAACAGTGTTGTGTTTTCATTGAGAAGCATATGACGACTCCAGAACAATGTCATAAGATAAGATAAACTTTATTGATCTTAAACTGGGGAAATTCACATGTCACAGCAGTTGAAAGCACAGATAGAAAGTGGAGAGTGACAATGTAGGCTATACTTAAAAAAAAAATTAAAAATAGAAAATATGTATATACAGTAGGCCTATATGTATATTATAGCTATAAATATATGTACATATTTCTGTATTAAAATATAACAAAAATCTGTATAGAAAAAAGTAAGGCACTAAAAACTGTACACACAAGATTATTTACTATATACACACTATATACACAATGGATGCGGAATATTGCACAGAGTATGTAAATTGCACAGTCTTCTTAGCAGCGATGATCTTATACAGTGTTACATATGAGATAACGTAATGAAATTCTTAAAATACTGTAAGTAGATAAAGTGAGGCAGTAACCAATTTTTAACCCATTCAGAACCCAGTTATGTTCCAACCACACAATGATGAAGATTCTTAAAACAGAAATCGCCTTATCTTAACCTTCTTTCAACAAAGAAAACATGAGATTATTTATTTTTCATAAATGGTTGATGATGCCTTTAAAAACATTTTGCACTGTGTTCATCATCACAACTCAAAATATCCATAATTCCTAAAGTATCTCCAGAAAACAGTATGTTGTAAACCTCCTGAGATGAATAGGATGTATTATAAGCTAATTGTTTAGTTAGAAAATCAAAAACAGTATTCCCCTGTTTAAACTGTTTTTCCCCTATTCATTGTCCAGTGACACTGAGATCCACCGTCCATTCTAATGGACTTATATTTCGGAAAAAATCCAAAGTAAAAGCCATATATCTTTCAAATGATATTTTGACATGGATCAGTAATATAACATCTCATGCTTACTTAAAACACAGTTTAAACACAAATTCTGTTTTTAAAATTATGATTAATAGACTGAGAGGTGTCTTGTGCTTCCTCCTTGCCTCACAGCCGGCCATGCTTATTAAAAAAGGGGCATGGCACTACTGCAGTCCACTTTAGGTGATGTGGAACACTGTGATTGGTTTATAAACATCCCATTAGATAACTGTCTGTTCCAATACTCAAACTACCATTCTATATAGTACGCCAGAAAAGATTTAGTATGTTCCAATACGTAGTGTCAAATACAGTAGGCCAAAATTACCAAGATTTTCTACTACATCTGGTCAGATTTTGCAGTATGCAAGCAAGCATGCTTTTCTGGCTATTCTGACCCCCAATCCTCTGCACAGCAGACGATATGTCACACCAACTGAGCCGCAAACAGATGACAACTTGAAAGCTCAATGACAGCATGTTCCCAGCTGTTTGACAGCTGTCATAGGTGGCAATGACGGATGACAGCGCATTCAAGTAATGGTTGACCAGTCAAATAGTAATAATAGGAATATTAATTAAGTCAACAAAATAATCATCAATATTACAAACAACAAAAGGACATAACTACAAAAAGTGTGTGGCTCTACCGCTCAGATGCAGAACGGGTTGTCCACCAATCGGAAGATCGACGGCTCGATCCCTGGCTCCTCCAGCCTGCATATTGAAGTATCCTTGGGCAAGATACTGAACCCCAAATTGCTCCCGATGGCTGTTCCATCAGAGTGTTGTCACGAACCAGGCCGCACGGCCATGACAAAGAGGGAGACACATACACAAGGAAAGCCAATTAAAGGATTTTATTTACTGAAGAATAAACATAAGATAATGACTCCCTGGCTACCGCGTTTATCTCATTATTAGACTCAATTGGCTTCAGTCAGGGTGTACATGAACCCACTCATTGTTTTAACCATACCCTTGATCTAGTTCTGATGTATGGAATTGAAATTGATAACCTAAAAGTCTTTCCACAGAATCCCTCTCTATCGGATCATTATCTGATTACTTTTGATTTCTTTTTACTCGATTACATGCCATTCAGCAACAGTTACTATACTAGATGTTTATCAGATAGTGCTGTTGCAAAATTTAAGGAAAAGATTACTCCGTCGTTAAATTCAATACCAAGTCCCTCAGTAACAGAGGTTTCCTGTACCGACTTTGATCATTTTGTCGATAGCGCCGTAGGCTCGCTGCGAACAACACTTGACTCTGTAGCTCCTCTTAAAAAGAAGTTAACAAAGCAAAGAAAGTTCGCTCCTTGGTATAACTCTCAAACCCGTAAGTTAAAACAAATATCGCGAAAATTTGAAAGGAATTGGCGATTAACCAAACTGGAAGAATCTCGTTTAATCTGGACAGACAGTCTCAAAACTTATAAGAGGGGCCTCCGCAATGCCAGAGCAAACTATTACTCAGCATTAATAGAAGA